CGCCTCAACGGTCGCCGCGTGATCACTGAGCTGTGAGACGCGCGCCTCAACGGTCGCCGCGTGATCACTGAGCTGTGAGACGCGCGCCTCAACGGTCGCCGCGTGATCACTGAGCTGTGAGACATGTGCCTCCACGATCGCCGCATGACCACTGAGCTGTGAGACGCACGCCTCAACGGTCGCCGCGTGATCACTGAGCTGTGAGACATGTGCCTCAACGGTCGCCGCATGATTACTGAGCTGTGAGACGCGCGCCTCAACGGTCGCCGCGTGATCACTGAGCTGTGAGACGCGCGCCTCAACGGTCGCCGCGTGACCACTGAGCTGTGAGACACGCGCCTCAACGGTCGCCGCGTGATCACTGAGCTGTGAGACGCAGCGAGACCATGAGACGTGTCTTCGAAAGAACTTTGGTGATTTTTGAGGTGCCATTTGAGATTGTAAAGTGATCCTGACGATTGTGAAATGTCCCTTACTTGGCTATCATGCGAGGACCTCGAATATTGTGCGGTGCCCTTAGAGATTGTAAGGTAACATTGAAGACTGAAGTGTCCTTAGCAAGTGTGAGCTGACCTTGCAGATAGCGAGGTCAGCGAGTCAACCCTTCAGATAATAACTATTCTGATGAATCCAGGGTTCAGGGTATGAAAAGACTATCATTGACCACCGTCCATTTTAAGCAAGTTCCGGTAATGTATTCGTTTTACGAATGTACTCAGAGGAAGGAGGTTTGCTCAAATTGTAACTAAAATCTTCAAAATTTTATGGGCATCGTGCCAAAATTATGACCGACCACACCAGTATTGAGAAAGTGTTGTATTGAAGTGCCTGTAAATACGAACCGTTGCCTGTGATCTTTGCAATAAGTGTATACGTAGTTGCACGTGTAAATATTTTGCCAAGAATATTATATATATATATAGAGAGAGAGAGAGAGAGACTTTTGTATGGTCACGTTGTCTGTCATCATCACAAATGTCAAAGCTTGTGATTAAACCCACGACAAATAATGACTTGTTATGAGTGTTATCATTGCAAAATGGGAATCCTGGTCTACAGCTTGTGATCCTGCGCAAAATTCCGTTCACCCACTGCAGCCACGAAAGTATTCACAGTGTGTACCCAGCTTTGTGACAACCGTTTCGCCTCAAATCTAAGACCTGCACTAATCGGTTTCATTTCCAATTAGTGCAGCTAACAATTGCTGCGCAGAGACAGAGATCAATTTATCTGATCCATTGCAAGAGAAATGCTAGACACAAACATGATGGAACATTCTCAGAGCCCCGATTCGGTCCTACAACCATAAGAACATAGATTTGCTGTGCTCATACCCACAACACCAACATGGCGTGGAAATTCCCACACAACTCCCCTTAATCAATATCTAACTCCTATCAATATCTATCAATATCAACTCCATTTAATATCTAATGTATTATTATTATTATTAATATGATTGCATTTGCCCTTTTGGCTTCAGTCGTAGAGCGCGGGGCTTCTGCAACTGCATTTCTTTAGTTTCCGTTAATATGGTTTACCCAGCAACAGCTACTCACTCTCACACAGGAATACCGCCAGCACATAAACTATTATACATAGGATTACGTGTTCGCTAACGTTCAGCAGCCCATGAAATAGGGTATGATCGAACAGAAGTTCTTTCGGAATGCATTCCAATACTGTTAAGCTAAAACGTTATCAAGAGCACTTAATCTATAGTTTATACCATAATTTTAATTAATAATACATGAAAATATACCACACTATGATATAAAACATAATATATTAATAACATAATCTAACTATATATATTTAGTTTACGTGACAATACATGTCAATCCGTATCAGTCGAATGAATCTCCGAGGTCGAATAAAGGCACATGAATCGGTTACCACGACGACGAACGTCAACGTACCTGTAAGATGGCTGCCGGAGAACTCAAAGTCATCGTCTTGGTCCCAGTGCTTCAGCGAGAGAGTCGTCAGCGGTGTCGCATTCGCAAACTCCAGGTTCGCAAAGTGCCAGTCGAGGATCTGCCGATCTTTCGACGATAAGTAGACGTCGCTGCGAAACGGCAAGCAAGCAACTAAGACCGGCGCCATCTGGGCGAGATGGCAACTCCCGCGTCAGAACGTGTTGCTAGGCCTGATAAACTTACCTGGGATGTACACGATTTTCATACATGCACGCCGAAATGTCGAGGTACTTTGTTGTACAGCATCGCTTTTAGAATGCCCCACTGATAACGCTGGTGGGCTAAAGCTCAATCACGCAGGGCAGATAGTCAAATAGCTGTGCTGTAGAGGTGGTGGGTGAAGGAGGGGGTGGGGGAGGAGATGATGAAGATGAATGGGAAAAAGGTATGAAGTAGAAGAGGTAAATGAAAAGAAAGAGCAAGCGAGGCAAAGGGACGACGAGTAAGAAGAGAAGGATGAAGATAAATTGGGAAAAGGTAGGAGGTAGAGGGGGGAAAAAGAGAAGAGGAGCGAGAGGAGGAGGGGAGGAAGAGGAGGAACAGGAGCAGTGTGAGGAGACGAAAGAAGAGGAGGGTGTTGCCTACCTCGGTGGGGAGGACTCCAGCTCCTGCAGCTTCTCCTCGATCTCCTTCTCTCTCGCGACCAGGTGATCGTATTCCTGCAGACGAAACACAAACACCGTTACAACGACGTTCCTCATTTAGCTCTGCAGCGCCACCTCTTGGCGAAAAAATGTGAGAGAATAAATGAAATCTAGGTGAGGACAAAGATGCAGCGTTCCACAAGAAGCATATGATACTTGAGATTATGAAATTTTTAATTGAAATTGTACGGCATCGCTTGAGTTGGGAATCTCACAGGCACTTTTACAGTGGAGATGGTTGGAGAAGAGAATACATACCTTATACTGGCTGCATGGGGGGGGGGGCAGGAGAATGAAACTCACACACACTGCATGAGGAAAGGGGTTTGAAATCCACCACTCACACAAGGGAGTGATGAGGAGGGACATGCCTTGCATATGCCGTGTGGGGAATGAGACAGCAGGGGTCGAACGCGCGGGGAGGTGGACGTACCTTACACGCACTGCGCAGGTCTCTCAGCTTGCTGCGTAGCAGAAATTCAGCGGTAATGTCGCGCGGCGGCTTGACCTCGGAAGCCTCCTTGTGCTGCCGCTGCAGCAGCTGCAGCCGGTCCCTCAACGCAAGCATCTGCCGACGGGAGAACGCGACGGAGCGATGAGCAACTGACGTGCGACTACGAGACACTAATTATGTGTCGGAGAGAGAGAGAGAGAGAGGGAGAGAGAGAGAGAGAGAGAGGAGAGAGAGAGGAGAGAGAGAGAGAGAGAGAGAGAGATGAGAGAGAGACAGAGAGTTGAGAGAGAGAGAGAGAGCAAGAGAGAGAGAAAGAGAGAGGTGTGGGAGGAGATGCAAAGAAAGAATCACCTTTGATTGGGTAGTTTTGAGCTGTTCCTGTAACTCAATGATGCTCTTCCAGTGTTCAACCTGTCTGTCTTTTACATGCTTCTCCTGTAACCTAAACATAATGGAACGTCACACTGATTGAAATTGTGCGTTACCGTAACGGTAGACAGACTGCCGCGATACACGACAAATTGATAAAAGAGAGACACTGTTTAGGATTTGAATAGAAGAGAGATTCTACATACTTTATGACAATCTCGAGTGCATGGCCCAGAGAGACAGGCTTGCCATTCAGGTAGTTGAAATCGAGTTGATGTGAAAGGTACGACGTGGCTTCAAGCAACCGATTGAACTCTCTCTCCACCATCTCATCTTTGTCTTTGGGAATCTGCAGAATAAATTTTATAACGTTAATTCATTATACAATCAAAACTGTATTGGTGGTACTTAGCTGTACTTTCGTAGCTGACGTTACGGTACCAATGTAATCATTACCACAGCGTTACGAGTGAATACCATCAACATAGGGTAGGTTCGTCAGGTTATTCCAACTTTTGCGTCATCTCAAACGACAATAAATATAGATATATAATGACTTCAGTTAAGAATCATTTCTCTCTCACTTATATGAAATATAATGCACTGTGTGAGTAGAGTTAACTTTTGCATCCTCTCAAAAGACGATGCTCGGATTCATTCATAATTTCATATACAATAATCCTCTCACTTATATGAAATATAACGGGCATCGTTAGTAGCATCAGCTACGAGGTGTAGATCCACCCATGTTTTTCGCAATGTTTCTTCATGTTCTGCATGTGCTCACCGTGTTTCCGTTGCTCTCGTACAAGGGACACTTCTGCTTGATCTTATGCAGCTCTATGTGAATCTGCTTGCTGAGCGTCGTTACTGGGTTTCCACCTGCGACGACACGACTGACATGAGTGCACGCAGGACGACACGATAGACGGTCTCTTAAATTAGTAGGTCTCAGGGGAGAGATAGTGATCCGCGAGATGGTGCTTTATTAGTGTATTGTAGCTGCAGAAATCAGTTAACCCTAACCCTAACCCTAATCCTAACTCTAACCCTAACCCTAATTCTAAAATAAAACAAAATTAGCCAAAAATAATAAAATTAAATAAGAGACCAAATTAGCCAATCAGAGCCGTCCCCTAGCGGATCACTATCTCTCCCTTGTGCAAAATTTCTCTTAAATGCGCGCGTAATATTAGGGTCGTTATTCGCAGTATTAAAAGATTCGGTGTCGATATCAGCTGTAACTAGAGCACTCGGAGAGCACAGACCTCCGCCAAGGCAGCTGAATTCTGTGACTGTAAAATTTTTTTATTAATTGACGACCAAAATATAATCAATTCTAAGTTACCCGATTTTGACGTATCCTAAATAATTAATTTATTTATTTATTTATTGGATCCGGATCACCACCAAAATGTAATCAATTCTAAGTTACCTCATTTCTGACCTAACCTGAAAATGTTATTAATTAATTAATTAATTAATTGGATCCGGATCACCACCAAAATCTCATCAATTCTAAGTTAGC